GCGGCAGCCGTGTCTCGCCTCTTCCCGGGCTGCCGGAGGATGTTTCCTGAGGCAGACTTGGCCGGTTCTCCCCTGAGCGGGACGGGGGCTTTGAGCGCTGCCCGCTTACTTCCTCCTCGTTATTCTTGCATACGTTGGCTGAGCTGGACATGTCCGCCTAGAGCGCGGCGAGCTGGCGCGCAGGGCCCTTGGAACCTCCGGCCTGAAGGGAGCGCTTAGAGGACGGCGGCGAGCTCCAGCGGGCGCCTTGCGGGCGCGCTGCCGAGCAAGGAAGCTTCCTAGGTCTAAGGGGGTTTTCAGGTCTTTCGTCTTTTGGTAGGTAGTCGCATTTTCCGTTGGCGGGACGGAAGAGTCGTCGGCCATGTCCTTCCCGCCGCGCCCCGGCTGAGGAGAGCTGGAGCTGGCTCGGGGACGGGCACATGTGGGTGCTTCCTAGCCCGGCCTTCTGAAAATAAACGTTTGAAGTATTACGGTAGCGTTTTATGCAAATAATTTAATTAATTTATTTTTACCTCATACAGTTTTCGGCCCTGCGCTTTTCTCCTTTGGACAGTGATTTATTCTACATAATAAATGTCTTAATGGCAAGTACAGCATTTAAAAATAGCTGGAAATACCACATTTTAATGAAAAGACATAGTCCATCTTTTAAAAAAAAAAACCGAGAGAACTTCACTTCGACTTGCATAATTTATGCTGATTATGACTACCACTTCAGTTAACACTGTCTTGGGCACAATTTTGAACAAGATTTCAGCCCTCGGAAAAGAAATTTTCAAGTAAAAGCAATTTTCCATGCAGGAAAAAAACCTTTTTTACCACCTGTTAATCTTCCACACTCAAACGCTCCCTCTCCCAGGTATGTATAATTGGAATATGAATGGCGTGATACATCTTGGTTGCTTTTTCTCCGCAAAGTAGGCACTGCTCTAGTACCGGGTAGTGTTTTTTGCTTCTGTAGTACCACCCAGTGGCGAGTTAGCGTATTATTCTGAATGCTTCCAGTTTACTGATTTGTACGTGGGTTTAAGGAAATAAATGTATTAATAGCTGCAATGCAGATGCGATATAGTTTAGTAGAAAGTAAAATAAATCAAAATTACCAGATTAGGAAAAAAAAATGAGAGCTGTTCTGAGTTTCTCAGTGACTGACTTAAATGGAAGAAATATAAAATGTCCAAGTCTGATGTCATTGTGGAAGTACAGGTGTCTTTTTTTAATTTCCATAAGCATATTTACAGAGGCTGATAATAGCACTGGTGGTTGTCTATGTAATCTCCCACTCAGGTGCACATAGTGCTCTCCTGACAATCCTCAAGGCATCACTTTATTAAGCTAAAACCAAGACCTCCACTGCTGTTTAAAAATCTGAGACAATTTACTATCTTCAACAGACCTTCAGCTACAACTAATGTGGGAGTCGGGAATATACTGGAATGATCTTTCACCCAGACTTCTTGTCACTATTTGTTTTTTAAATACTTTCCAAGTTAGTGATACCAAGAAAAGCTATTCTGAAATATTCGTTGCTGAAATTTCCATTTACTGAATTAAACTAATACAGAAAATTAACTTCAAGAGTTTAGTGAGACATAGATTCCTAGTTCTCTGTCACTTTAATACACATCATATCTTAATGCAAGTATCTTTCAAACAGGATTTCTGAGAATAACAAAAGATACCAGTACAAGAGACAGAAGGACTACCAGTAAATGACAAACTAAACTTCCCTGAAACTTACCACTAATCTTTCATGTTACATGTAACTTAAAGATGTTTTCATTCCTGACATAGTCTTTTCCAAACAACATATTTTCTATTGATAGATATAGGTGTGGTGGATTAGTTATTAAAATGGCACAAATGTGCTGGAGTCTGTAAGGCCTTTTTTGGTTGTGTGATCTCTTTCAGATGGCCTGAAAACTTGTATAATGCAAGAATAAAAGAGCAGTCCAGAATATTACAATTACCATATTCTGCTCACGCCTGACTTAAGGTACTGACCACCTTTTTTTATAGCACTGCATTCAAAGCTTGAGATGTGTCACAGGTGGATCAGAGGGCTTTTATGTTGTGTGTATACAGTCTCATTTTTCATTTGTTGTGCTGTCTCACTTTCTCACCTTCTATGTGTCTGAGATTATTTGAATTATCTGTTTATGTTATTTTTTTCCATGGCTTTCATGAGTTCTCTTTGCAATATGCCACATACTGTTTTCTGAATCCTATCAGTCTTCATTTGCTGGAATACCCTTTATTTCTTATGATTATCATAGTTGGAAGTTACTGGAGTTGGAAGCCAGAGCTGTACACAGAGAAGCTTAGAAAGCATCTTAACTTTATCATATCAAAATAATACAAATCCTGTATCTCCAAGAAGTGATGCTTACTCACTTCCTTAACCTTTAACATCATATCACAGAGGTATTCCCACTAGCACAGAATGAATCAGTGGCAAGATGACACAACTGAGTTGTCTGCGTCTGGAAAAAGACCACATTTTTTGATAGAAAGCATAGTTCCACAATCTGCATTATCTGATTTGAATTTGCACTTTTCTTTCCCCTCTTCCTTCCTTGTAAAATTTTCTGTAAGAACTGTGTAACAGAATGAAAATTAACTGCCAATATATCTTAAAAGATTTTTTCTCTTGACAAATCAGCTCTTTGATCCAATTGCAATGCCACAAACACCAGAGGCAGCAGCACAAGGAAGGGGCCCTTTGAAGCGTGGTATCACATGCCAAGTTCAATGAATACAACAGAAGAGTACGGCTGACCTTGAGTCACTCCTACTTTTGTGGAGATTGGAATATTGCCAGCCAAATTCTTTTTACTGCACACAATTATTTTTTTTTTTTTAGAGATTAAATTGTATTGTATTTTTGAAAATTAAATGTTAGCTTCCAAGTAGGAGACATCAGGAGCTGTAACTGGCCTGGTTACAGTGATCACCAGCCTTCCACTCTTCTACACATTGCTTTTCTTCTCTTGACCTGTACTCTCTCCTCATGTGCCATCCTTGCAAGGTTGTTTGATCCCCAGGAGGCCCTCTTTCATTCCCTTGACTGCAGTGCTCCTAATCTGGAAATATTTGCTCTGGTAAACTGCTATCACAGTTCTTCTAGAGGAGTAACTTAGATGAATGCAAGACCTGAGCAAAATTCTAAATCCAAACTTAGGACTGGATTAAGAGTTTGAGAACATATATTTTCCAAAACTAATGTCCGTGTCCCAGAACTGAACTAATACTGTAGTCCTGTTTTAAGCTAAAGATAGAATTAATCATTCACTGAAAGAAAAAAAAAAACCAAACCAGCAACCCTGAGGTGAATTAGGAGTTGAGGTAACAAGACTGGTCACTGCTTTTGGTCCTTCTTTGGGACGCTTCAGCCTCTCCTAGCCTTCCTATTTTTAAGCTTTCATTTTCTGTATGAACATGGTTGGTCATTTGATTTCAAAGTAGTAATTGTGGAATGTGAAAGACTTAACATTTATTTTTTTTTACATCAGTCCTGTTAACTACTTTAACCAGAGTTTTGTCTGATGTGAGATAACTGAATTATCTTATGTTTGAACTTTCTGCTGCTCTGCTGCAGGTTCCCATTCCTGTAGCAGCGATAGCCGGATGGATTGCATGCGTACTTCTCTGCTGCCACAATTTACAATGAAAGGTAACCTACCAGTGATTTCAGCAGATGCTAAGAGGAGATGGGAGCTGTGACAGCTGGAAAGCAAGTAAATATATTTCTGCTATTACAAACGATAGTGTCAAAAAGTAAATTCCTGCCAGCCCTATGATATGTGACCTCTGGTTTGGAGTGATGCTGGAAATGGTTGAATGTAGGGGAAATCAGGATTTCCTAGGCAATAAAGTCAGTCAGTCTCTGCCTGCATCATGTAAAGTGACCAGTGCAACTTGGCTGAAGTGCCAACAGAATCAGTTTAAATTTACACACTTGAAAATTTCAGCACTTGCCTTTCATTGCTATATTAACATTTTTAGTTTTTTTAACAAGGTTCATATCTAACTAGACTTTGATATTGCAGCACCCTGTGAGGACAAATTGGATTAGTTTGACTTACCTTGAATATTAGAAAATGTATCAAAGTAATTTATAGCCCTATTAGGCCAAAAACGTCAGGTAAAAATAAATAATGCTCACTACACCACCAAGCTACGTTGAACAGTTTGCTCCAAAATCAGCTAACTGGCTACTCAGCATTTTAGTAGGAAATTAGCCTTCATTCTAATAAACATTATTACAAGCTGTTGGGTGTGGCAAGAATCACACTGTACAGCCAGGTAAACAGGGCAAGCTCAAACTTCAGAGTGGTTTCAGACTGCATCTTACAGCCTGTTTTAAGTTGCAGTCGTGGTTAGTGATTCAGTTGCAGTTTTTTGGTTTGGGTACTTCTGTACCCTTAAAGGTCTGGTGGAGATTTGACTGCACTAGCTTGAGATTCAATGCTACTAGTCTAACCACTCTGTTTTCCAGACAAGATAGCCTGAGGATTATACCCATGTCCTCAACCTCATTTTGGGATAACAACCCTCACAGTGTGTTTCAATCTTCATTTTTATTATTTCAGTCTATAAAGTAGTTGTCAGACGACTGGTCATCTTACCCCTTTGACTTGAAAGCAAGTCAACAGCTACATTTCTGAGCACGAGCGACAACACCATCAGCAACTGAACCATGTTAGAGAGGACAGTCAGGTTTTTTTGCACATTTGGACCTTTTTGGACTTTTTACAGGTAAAGCATGTGTTTACCACGTTCCTTTGGAAAACTCTGCTTTTATGATTGCACAGTTGCACATTTCAAGTTAACCCTGAAAGCAAACTGCTTAGAGGTAAAGCTCTGGGGAGAGTTCGAGCTAACTGCAAAGTTTTGAGAAGATCATAAAACCAGTTATGAAAGTTGATACAAGAATGCTCAAGCTAGATCTAATGCTAAAGAGATACCACAAGAGAAAACTGGTCATTACTGCCTGGTTATCAATATATGTGCTAAAATAACTGTAAGTGGTAGTAAGTGGGCCGCAGCCAGCTCTTTACAGCACACGTACACTTAATCTTGTGTGGTCACGTCAAGAGAAAACAATTTTTACTCCTCCTCCCACCCTCCAACCTAAACTGGCCAATTCTT